CTCCCCACCTGCGCAACATCAAAGCCATCTGCTAATTGCTGTATTCGTGAATTAGAACCCGTACTATTATCTTACCAGAGTGTTTTAAAATTATATTATCAAGAAAATATTTTTTGTAATAATGTAATCGTTACTCAAAAAAAGAAGAATAAAAATTGCTTTCTCTCTTAGCAGAATAATATTTTTCTGCATTTTTTTACACTATCGCTCATGAAAGTTCGAACATCTGCATAAATTTCATCGAATGATCGTGTAAAAAAATTAAGACATAAAACAGCAATTGTATTATTTTTGAAATATATTTTAGATCACTTGTACACATATTAGCAATTTCAAAAGCTTTATAAATTAGTTTTAATTTTGTATGTCAAAAAATATTGTTTTTACTTCGTACAACATTGATGATATAATTAATAAATTTCAAAAATTCGATCAGAAAACACAAATATGGGCTCGTGCTACAGTGTATGTTGCCAGCCTATCCCCATAAGTGAGGGAGGATAGACTAGCAAAAGCTTTATAAATTATTTTTAATTCAATTTTGATATAAAATTAAAAATAATTTATAAAACTTTCGCAATTGCTAGTATGCGTACAAGTGATCTAAAATATATTTCAAAAATAATATAAATCCTGTTTTATGTTTAATATTTGTCTTAATTTTTTACACGATCATTCGATGAAATTTATACGGAAGTCCGAACGTCCATGAGCTGTAGTATAGAAAAATGAAGAAAAATATTATTCTAGTCCTAAGAGAGAACGCAATTTTTATTCTTCTTCTTTTGAGTAACGATTACATCATTACAAAGAATATTTTCTTGATAATACCGGGTGTCTCAGAGCACCCGTACCACCCTTTTAAAAGGTAGGGATGTGTTTGTACAAAAAAATGGTTCAGACAAAATTTGCAGGATTTCGGGAGATCTATCTGATGGTGACCTTGAATTTGACCTTGAGGTCGACCTTGGGCATAACTCAAGGTCAAAGTACCGTTTTACAAATGTAAACCCTTATTCATGACATCACAAATGAAAATAGCGGAAAATTTTACGTCCGAATACGTTATCAAGCCTAGGTCAAAATTACCCTTAGACGTCATGTGGAGGTCAAGTTACTTTTAGAGCACCCGTACCAACCTTCTAAAAGATATGGATGTGTTTGTACAAAAAATAGTTCAAACAATACCAGGTATTTACATAGCTATGATGCATCCATCTGCTGGTGAATTTGAATTCTACCTTTAGATTCATTTGTAGTCGTGTACATCGATTTTTAAAGATTCCTAATTATCAAGATCTTGAACAGTCGATGCCGCCTGTGTCAGCGTTACCCAAGATGTACCACGTGGAGGTCACAAGGTCGGACTTACACCTCGTCGGGGTGCTTTTTTAAGGTGGTTCCCCTTGCCGTCACCTTTGTTCGTACGCATGTGTTCAGTCTAGATTTTCGAAGTGTCCTCCACGTGCATGTATGCAGGCTGTTATTCTTCGTTGAAAATCATCCGTCACCCGACAAATTTCGACAGGATCTAGAGACTGAATGGCTTCTCGAATTCTGTTCTTCATGTCTTCTGAAGTCGTAGGTCGTTCGCGGTATACGAGGTCTTTTATTCTTCCCCACAAATAAAAATCCAAAATTGTAAGATCCGGTGATCGTGGTGGCCAGTTATGTGGACCATATTTACCTATCCATTGGCCGCGAAATATGCGGTTCAGTTGTTGACGAGCAATGACAGACGTGTGGGCTGGACATCCATCCTGTTGAAATCACATATTTAGACGTAGTTGAAGTGGAATATCTTCAAGTAAGTAATAAACTTATTGCGAAACATATTGCCTCGGCTAATTTATTAGCCTTTTAAGACTAATTTGGGAAATTTGGAGGAATTATTGATATTTCAGATTGATTGCGTTGAAAGTCCGACAACCATATCGACATGCAATTATCATTTCTGAAATTAATTCATTCATATGAATGTATATAATAGTACAACATCTTAACATTCAGACCGCAGTGGCGCTTCGTATTTAAAGTAATGTATTTAACATATACGGTCTTGTTTCTAATCTTATTGTTTAAACGTTAATACTCGTTAATTATTGCGAGCATTGCAAAATATAATAGTAGATGACTTTTCGACTCAGTTTAGTCCGCTCTACCTCTTCAAGACTGGTGGGATCATAAATTGGAGCTACCCTATATAATATTTCTGTAATGTTATATAAAATATGGCAAAGCATTTTTAATTGACTGCTGCGATCAATTAAAAATGCTATGTCATATTCAGTCATTCCTTTCTTTCAGTGTGTTACTGTGAATACACTAGCATAATTATCATATTTTCCTGCTCTCAGTGTTACCTAAAATCAATGAAGTGACTAAGAAAATATATATGATTTCAACATTTTGTCTTCTGGAATCATACTATGAGTCTTCAAATTGATACAGTGTAGAGACTCGGACCGGACCGAAACCGATAACCGGACCGAAAAGTTGTGCAGGTTAATGGATCGAAACTGTGACCGGACCGAAAATGTTTTTCGGTTAGGTTTCAGTCCAGTTTTCGGTTCAGATTTTTTAATTTCTTCGTTATGTACGATCGTCGACTACAGCTACCAAACATACATATCTCCATGTAGTAATTATATCCTTACGACCGAGCGTCGGCTGGTGAACAATAAGAACAATGCGTTCCCCTTTTACAATCGAAAGAGAGAGGAATGCTCGCCTGTGATTGGTCGATTCTTGCAACACTTATAAAAATGGATGAAGTCTGTCCTTACTCCCATGATAGTCAGTAAATAATTGTAAAAGGTACGAGAAGATCGAGAAGTTTATCAAAATTTATTCAATGCGCATGCGTAATCTATTTTTATATCATGTTTCTTTTGCCACTATTTACTGACTCAGAAGAGATCAAGAGGGAAGTAAGGATAGTCTTCGCCCATTTTTACAAGTGTTTTAAAACAATCTCATTATTTGGTTTTACCTAAATTCTCTCTATTTATAAATGTTATGCAAGAAACTTTAACGTGTCATTTCTCACTTATGATGTCACGATCCAATGTTGCCATTGCCATAGCGATCACAGAAGAGTCTTAAAGAGGAAAAGGATTTTAAGTAGCAATATTACAGGTTCATGGAGTGTTCATGGAGTGTACTTTTTTATTTCCTTGCTTGATTATGATAATTTACATAAGAATAATATTTTATTTTATAGAAAATTATCAAAAAACTGTAAACGACCATTGGCGACGCTATAAATCGTTGACGTAGTCGATGTAGATGACGTCCCAAAAAATAATAAAAATGAAACAGCAGTAAAGAAAAAAAATAATCTGTTTACTTTACACTAGTTTAGAGTTAGAGTGCTTATGCCCGTTTCTATCAATGCAATTTAACTTTAATTTCGGTTCAATTAACTCTTCATTTTTTCTAGTTTTAAAAATTAAAAAAAGATGAAGAGTAAGGATCTTAACAGAAAGACTGACTTATAATCTTAAGACAATATTTCATGATTAAGACTCAATCCCACAATTCACGTTAACTCTTAACTATGGTCAATTTATTCCTCATCTCTTTTCAATTCTAGAATTGAAAAGAAATAAAGAATAAGTTGCACTTCGATTAAGAGTTAATCGTGAGTTCTGGAACTGGACCTAAGTCTCATGTCTTCAATAACGCACAAGAACTGTCTTAAGATTATAAGTCAGCCTTCTGCTAAGGCCCTAAGTTGAACCGAGATTAAAGTTAAACTGCTTTGGTAGAAACAGGCCTTACATTGCTTAGTGCTTACATATCTCCAATTCAATATTGTCTTAAAATAAACATGAATTTCCTTAAATATGCAATTTATGCTTGTTGTATTACCTTTCTCTACAGTAGATAATCATATACCGTGAACGAAAAAAACTTAAATCCAAATGGTTATGGTCACCGATATGATTATCGATAAAAGAATCGAAACCGCTTGGATTTCGGAACCGAAATTTTTTAATCCGGAACTAAAAAAGACCGAAAAAAACCAAAAGCATTATTGATAAAAGGAACCGGAACCGAAATCGAAAATTAGTACAACCTCTGACTGTGAAATTTCATTTCGATCCGAGTTCTTGATACAGTATGACTTTAGAAAGTATATAATTATAATTATAACAATGATGTAAATGTAATTATAATTGTAATTATATTTATATATTATAATTATCATTATATATTATAATAATTATTATATTTATTATAATTACTATAATTGTAAATATTTAACTCATATATATTAGAAACAAAGCCTTAAGGAATCGATAATGATGCGTACATCGCATTGTGCACATCGCATTTTTGGCGGAGAACATTTTGACCGCGTATATCTTTGAGCAAACAAGTTGTGCTCATTGAGACATTGGTTCAGAATAACAAGAAAAACTATAACATATCAAAAATTCAATCAATTCGACCGAAAACACTTTCATATAATTTATGTGGGGTCCTTTATTAATATAATTTAATTATTCGCAATTAATATTGTATAAATACCACAGAAATATTATATAATATTACAGTAATATTACAGTATATTTATGTAATTTATTTTCACGAATATTCTAATATTACTGTATCTCAGTAATATTTATGTAATATTTTTGCTATATTGCATTGTAATATTACAATGGAAAATAATATAGCGAAATATTACTGTAATATTACATGTGGATAATGACGTGAAATTTTAAGCATAGGTTAGAAACAGTCCTACCAATCTAAAAAAATAAATGTTTCTTTGATATTCGAAACGCTTAATTTAAATAAGCCAATCCCGATACTTTTTGCTCACATGATAAATTCCTTTTTATGCATGATGCGCATAATATCATTTTATCTTTGATAATTATCGAATATTAAAAAAAGGTAAAATATCATGTGTTTCCTTGCGTGAAACGGAACGCATGCACAATATGCATTCTATCATGTTTATATCATTGTAATCTCTTTTTTTACAGCAAATCTTCACGTATCCAACCATTAGCTCGATGTCTGGAGTAATTTCGCCGACTAACTTATCTCTATTCTCGTCTCCTGTTTCGGTAACGAGACCGGTAGCAACACAAAGGTCGGTCACTAATATCCCACCACGTTGGAATACTGCGCCATTCATCAATTTGGAAGACGATTATAACATGATTGCACCGATTATCACTGGAACAAGCAGTGAGCCATCAGCCACTATAGAAGAAGGTGAAGCTAAATTTTGTGTCTTGATCAGCACTGAATAGCAATATCATGTTTCTTCTTTTTGCTTAAAAAAAGATATATTTAAAGCTTAATAATATAATGATCTGCTCATAATTGATTATCAGTAATTACTAAGAAATGGAAGTAATTCATAACGAAGTTATATAGTTATATAGTTACAAGTTACTTTTTTGGTAATTTACTGACAACTGCGTTACTTTTTTTTTTTAATTGTAACGGTAACGTATTATACATTTTTTGTAACAGTAACGAATTTTACAGTTACTTTAACCATTACTTTTTGTACTTATTTGACATAATTTTCGTTTATTTAATCTTGAATCTTTAGATAGTATTCATAATTTATTTTAATTTTAGGACTATTTTAATCTTAAGATGTTCATACGCCTCTGTGATTAATTTATTTATTAAATTTAAGATAACTTATTGTTTTTTAAATAAAGACATTTTAAGGGGATGCTAAAGTGATAATTGAACTTGATCAATGTCAATCAATGTCGTAGTACAGATTTTTTTTAATTCCAAATAAAAAAGTCGATAATAGTGACATTTTTAATTTATTTCTAATATTATCGTTCTGTCTCACTCAACGCATCTGTCCTTATCTAACATATTGCAACGCTATCTCTTGCAAGATCGAACACCTACTACTAGACACAGTTACTGCTTTGTTTATATCAGTCTTCAGCTTTTTATTTTAGTTTTATAAACTCAGTATGTAAAACACTGGGTACTGATTCGAACCATGATGGAAGGGATAACATGTACAGTGGACAGTGTCTCTTTCTAAATCTCTGCCCCCTCTATGGACTATTCATAAGGAGGAAGCTACCAACTATGAAATTATGGGACAGTTCATTTTTATTTAAAAAATTTCTTAAATACTGTATTAATTCCCACACAGCACAAAGTTCCGTTTAAGTTTCCAAAAAGTTCATTTTGCTGAGCTCTAAGGTAGCTTATAAAATTCGGCAAAACGAATTCCCAGGGAGTTGATAATGTTAAGCTCTCGGAAAGCTTACAAGAGTCGATTAAATAAGCTTCCAGGGAGTTCATTTTGGTGAGCTGGTATAGCTATAAAATTTTTATAGAATAAAAATTAAATTTTTAACATTGGTCATTGGCTGCATTCAACAGAATGTTTATTTTGCAATTGCGGGAAGTTTTCTTTCCAATGGATACGTCCAGATGCGCAACTACTCACTGAGTGGCTAAGTAGCAATTGAAGATGATTGGTTGGATTTTAAAGTAAGCACCAATCATCATCAATTAATCGACATCCGTGATACTGCCATCATTTCGCAATCTCGCGAGAGCATGTATCATAGAGTAAAAAAAAGGAAATCAAGCGGCCGGTCACAAAAAACTTGGGCTTGATTTTTAGCTTCGGAAAAGTGTTGTACGAAATAACAGATCCGATCACACCTATCGGAGAAAACTGTTAAATTAGAGGATTTGATAAATATTTTTTTCCCATTTTCCTGCAATTTTACAAATTTGTGTATTTTGTATGCGTAGAATATATTTTGAGAACGAAAATTGTTGCTCAAATCTCGTTTTATTTTTTTTTAATTTCAAAGTTTTTTGATGAAATTAAAAAACAATAATTTAATAATAATTTATGATTATGCATGCATGTATGTATTTTTCAATCAATATTGATACATTTACTTTCTAATCAAATAAAATGAAATTGTATACGAATTAGAATTTCTGCACTAAAAATAAAACATGTACGTGTATTCCATATGCATTATCATGTGGTATGTATGTACTTCTAACTATCTCCGCAATAGCAGATCGAATCACATCATCCCGATTTTCATGTTCTTCTAAGTCATGTTTTGAACCCACTTTCGATTCGATCCTCGAGTTTTGCCGAATCTCAATAAATCAGTGGTCTGTAGTCTAATCAGTGAATCGAAAAAGAGTCTGGAGGATAATAAGTGAGTCGAAATTAGTCAAAATCAGTATATCGGTAGAGTTGACCAGCAGTCAATTTCTAATGAGTACAGACTGCCAATCGGCATTTAGGCTGCGCGTGGGTTGATGAAGTAAAGGGCAGGAACCAAGCTGAAAATCAGCCGAAATGTGCAATTAAATCCCAGCTCAGGACTAAAGACCCATTACAGATCTGACATTTGATCTCTTAGATTATATTCCGGCCATATTTGTTCCATCAAAGGAATTGGAAGAAACGGAGGCCATTTTCAAAGGAGAAGATTTGATCTCCTTTTTACGTGCCACATATTTTATGATTTGGAATAATCCGTTACGTGATTTATATGTTTTAATTACATGCTTTCATTATATAACTTTGTGATGTGATTCTTTTCAGTAAGGAATCTTGGAAACTATTCTGATGCTCGTAGGGAGCTTCCAAAACACGATTTCCAAGCTTCCTGCGATCTTAAATGAAGCTTCTAGAGAATTCTCAAAAGAGCTTGCAGAGAACTCCAAGCGAGTTCCTTTTATGTTGAAATGAAACTTGCAAAAAATTTTATGAGCTCCCTGAGAGCTTAAAAAGAGTTCTCTGAGAACTTAAATGGAACTCCCAGAAAACTCTTAAAAATGAATACAAGAATTCCCGGGAAGTTCCAAGCGAGTTTTTTTGAAGTTGAAATAAAGCTTACACAAAAAATTTTTTAAGCTCCCTGCGAGCTTAAAAAAAGCTTCCTGCGAACCAAAATGAAGCTCCCAGGGAACTCACAGAAGCGGACATAAGAGAGAAGCTCAGTGCAAGTTTTTTTTGAAGCTTAAATGAAGCTTATAAAAATTTTATGACCTTTCCGGGAAGTTCCCCGAGAGCTCCTCGTGCTGTGTGGTAAGACACAAGATGCTAATGGCAAGATACTAATATAGTCCTTGGATTGACTTATGACATCTTAAGATTGTACTAAAGACAGTAAATGTAAGAATCGACTATGAATACCGATCTGTGTCGATTCGTGACGACCTGTTTTATCGTGAAGTTGGTATTGAATCTTTCCTTGTGCAAGGTGACGAAATAGGTGATAAAATATTAAAATTAGTGCTATTAATACCTTCCTGTGTGATGCATTCTTCCACCTAAAGTGATCTTCATCTTCTTCGAAATAAAAATCACGAATCATTTCTGCCACAAATTCCGCAATTTTTTTTCAATAATTTCTATTCTTTCAGAAAACTTGGAACTTTTCATTTTTTCAGTCAGTTATAGTTTGTATAAAATTCGACCACAAATTTTTAGATTTAATTATACCTTGTTTTGAGAGCAACAAAGATGTTGTTTTGTCTTACTCAGCAATAATAATCGCATTTTCCATTCTATTAGCATATGCGATGTTATCATGAACATTTCTAGCGTTTTCCATGCTGATAAATTTTATTGAAATGCTTCTTCAGTTCGGAGAATCGCTGCGCGCACGAGTGAGTCGAATGCTTAATGAAGTGAGTAATATTTCGACTGGCGCGCGGTCTATTTGGTTCAAAATCATCATCCGAAATTCAGAATCATCCACCCAGATAATAATTTTAATAGTAATTTTAAGATAGTAATTTTACCCACCCAGATAATAATTTTATCTTTAACATTTGGTGAAATAAGATGAAATTTACAATGATATATTGATATTTTCCTATACAGTACGTTTTTCAAATTATTACAATAATTTAAAAAACGTATAGGAAAATATCAATATCTTCATAAATTTCATTAAAAAAATCGATTTCTTCAAAACTATGGGGGCCAAAATGGGGGGGCTGAAACGGCCAAACACGTATATATTTTTTTTTTTCACTTAAGAACAGCCTGTGAAAAGCATCAAAATCTCTGACCTGATGTTCCTTATGAATTCATAAATAAAATAGAAGACATCGTAAATAAATGTTTATTACCAATTTTTTCTACATACGATTCTTATAATGCTATACATCATTTAATCCGCCAATCATCTCGCTGTTGAAGATTTCCTCACTTCCCCTCTGCTTAGGAGCGTTCAATTTTCCACGCGAAAGGAGTCTACCTCACCTCCCTCTACTTAAGGGAGTACGATTTTCCCGAAGTGAGGCCCACCCCATCTCTTCTTCTCCCTCCAGCCAAGAGGCGACTGATTTTCTTCTAAATAGAGAAATACACTTCGCTTCACATAGAAAGTCGTATGCCCCGTGATAGGAGAGGAAGGAAATGGACCGCTTTTTGCATGGAAAATCATATGCCTATCAGTATATAGCAGAAAAAAGACATTATTTTTTAAAACTTTATTAATAACTTTTGAACGAACACAGTGACCACCATCTGAAACTTTTTAAAAATAATTCAAGGTTAGACTTTGATAACATATGTCAAAATCAAAGTCATCGGCGTAATATCCGTTAATCCGAATAATTACCTAAATTATTTGTTTAATGTTGTTTAAACTTTTTTTTTCCGTTTCTCTATCTAATCTAAATTACATAACGAATGTGAAATCGCTTTCTTATCATTACCATTAATTGTTACTCGTATTTTTCGAACATAAGTAGATAATCGACACATTATAATGTAATTAATCTCATATTTCTCATATTCTTCATTATATATGTTGCTTCCGTTTTTACTTTTAAGACATAAATTTTTAATGATCCATTCGTCTGTTTATATCTTCTACACTTTTATGTATTACGTAATTCAATTTGTAATCGTTTAATAGAAGAAAATTTATTCCGCCTTAAGACTCTTGACTAGGCGCGGCGGCCATGTTGGAATCGTGACGTCAGAAGCGAGGAATGACAAAATTAGGTAGGATAAGGAGGAATTTATTGCGTGTCATTTTTAAATAAAGACAATTTGAATGAAACGAAATGACGAGATCACTTGTAAAAATCGATGAAAACTATCGTTTTCTTTCTTGACAGTCAGTAAATGGTCGTAAAAGGCACGTAAAGTGAGTCTATATTCGGATAGAAATACACGATCCGACAGCTGTTGAAACGAGTAAAATATACACTTTTACATATAAAAT